GGCTGCCTGCCTGTAGCCAAGAAGAGCAATAGATGTGCGTCCTTGAGGCAGTAGCCTTTGCTGCCATCTCATTCACACCAAAGGCTTCCCATACTTGGTGTTGGGCCAGATCTATGCATTTGGGGACTAGCTTTTTAAAGTTCCTAGGGTGAAATCTTGGACCCAGTGAAGTCAATGAGAGTTTGCCATTGACGTCAATGGGGGTAGAATTTCAGTCCTAACCTTTATCTTCTTTTTTTCTAGAACTGGTTTAAAAAAGAAAAAAGCTAGTTTTGTGAGCAATTTCAAAGCCATTTAAGTTTCAAATGATTCTAAGTGGATCGATTATTAAGTTTTTAGACATTTTTATCTAAAGCAACAGTTCTGAAACTTTAGCAACCCAAGGACCTTCATTTTGATTTAAAAAAAGTTTGGGGACCCCCAAGCCCTCCTGCTTAGGGCTGGCCTTGCCCCTGCTTGCTCTCCCCCACTCTCACCCACTTCCACCAGGCTGCGGCAGGAGGTTGGGGTGCAGGAGGGGGTGTGGACTCTGGGAAGAAGTTTGGGCATGGGACGGGGTGCAGGCTCTGGGAGGGAGTTGGGATGCAGGGTGCAGGCTCTGGGCTGGGGTTGGACGGGGTGAGGGGTGTGTTGCCCCGGCCGGGAGGTGCTTACCTCGGGCAGCTCCCGAAAGCGACTGGCACATCCCTCTGACAGTGGCTCCTAGGTGGGGGGCCAGATGGTATCCGCTCGCTGCCCCTAGCCGCAGGCCATAGTTCCCAGTGAATGGGAGCTGTGGAGTTGGTGCTCAGGGTGGGGGCAGCACACGGAGACCCCCTGCCCACCCCACCCCCAGGAGCTGCAGGAACGTGCCAGCCACTTCCAGGAAAGTTGCAGAGCCAGGGTAGGTAGGAAGCCTGCCTTAGCCCTGCTGCACCGCCGGACTTTTAGCGTGCAGAAGGCTCTGGGAGGGAGGGAGAGGAGTTGATCAGCAGGACCCATGGACCCCCGGGGGTACCCTCGGGAACCCCCAAGGGTCCGCGGACCCCAGTTTGAGAAACACTGATCTAAAGCATTATCAATATGTCCCTACCAAATTTATGGCCATGAAAAATGTGTCATGGACTGTGAAATCTGTATAGTATAGGATTTAAAAACAGATTTCACAGGGGAGACCAGCGTTTCTCAAATTGGACATCCTGTCCAAAAGGGAGTTGCAGGGGGGTCACAAGGTTATTTTAGAGTGGTTGCGGTATTGCCACCCTTACTTCTGCTTTGCCTTCAGAGCTCAGCGGCCAGAGAGTGGCGATGTTGGCCAGGCTCCCGGCTCTGAGGGCAGCGCCCTGCCAGCAGCAGTGCAGAAGTAAGGGTGGCAATACCATACTATGCCACGGTTGCCACCCTTACTTCTGCTTTGCTGCTGGCAGG